AGAATATTTTAATATTACAAATTTTTCATATTAAGTACTCCTCCGGTCCTTAATATAGGATCTATTTAACTAATTTGATTAGATTAAGTAAGTTAGGTAAGTTAGTTAATTATAAAAATTGTGACATGTTTTTTCTAAAATACCATAATCTTTCTTAATACCCCTCTCTATCTTCTACTTGATTATAGTTGATAGAGTATCCATAGGGATAATTTAGAGAAAATTGATAAATATGAGAAATGAGTATTATATTTAGGACCAAGACCAACTTAGCAATTGGGTCCTATATTAAGGACCGGAGGAGTACTATCTTTGATCCTTAATATAGGACCTCGTTTGACTTTTATTTTGATTCTAAATATAAGACCCCAATCCACTTTGTCTTCTATATTTATGTATTTGTTTCCAAGATAGTCCTTCTAACAATGGTAGTACTAACCAATACACTTAATTATCAAGGATATTTTAGAAAAGACAACACTTATTTATAACAAATAACTAACTTAACTTCTTTCTTTAATCTCCTCAAATTAGTCAATTAGCTCTTATAATTAGGACCGAAGGTAGTATATTCTAGCTTCAAACATATAAAAAAAAAAAAAAAAAAAAAAAAAGACCCTCGTAAGTCCTAACATCGTTTATGCGTTGTATCATTAAAAAAAAAAAACATAGTCTATACTTTCATAATGTTCCAGCCTAAGATATTATTCTCTGATCAGAAAAAAAACTTCAAATATTATTTTGCTGTTGGCTTTTTGATTATTTGATGGTTGTTTGGGCTGTTTCATAATAGTACTTACTTTTCTGTGCGCCTGTAAATTAGAGAATTCCAACCTCAAAATTCTGGTCAGAAAAAGAGAGATTCAACTTTAAATATTTTCAACTAAACTACTCTATGGGATTACTTATTTTTCTGTGCACCTTTAAATTTCAGATTTCCAACTCAAAACTCCGACAAAAAAGTGATATTCAAATTGAAATATTTTCGACTTGTTATATTAAACATGGTGTATGAACTTTCACATTAATTTCACAACATAATTAAGAATAGAAAATACAGGCGTCAATTTACATTCATAAGCTTTTGGTCAAAAAAAAGGAATTCGCATTCATGAGCCTGCAATACTTATAATCACCGTCCATATATGTAACTTTTCAATCCTTTGAATTAGCGGTATTTAAATGAAAAAAATGTATCAAAAAAAGTATTTAAGTGAAATAAAAAAAACCAATGAAAGGAAATAAAAAAACAAGGCTGCGGATTATGGATTTGACTCCTTCATCTGATTAAACAAATATGATTGAAAATTATTTTCGCAGCATAGCTCATTCACACACACATACACACACTAATTATTTTTTTAACCTCAATATATATGCTAATTAGTTACTAATTATGCTTTTGGTGTTGTTATGCATTGACTTTCCATTAATTTAATCTTAACGCGACCAATATTAAAATTTTCAGGGAGTAAATCACACAATTTTTCATTGAAATTATGAAGATATTTGTTTATCTCAAAATAAATAATTTTTCTTAAATTTTATGAACATCATATAAACCTCTAATTATTTGGTTAAAAGTTCTGCATATGGGCGGCAAACTGATTATAACTATTATGAGATGAAAATGATAATTTTTAAGGAGGAATCTTGATTATAAACAAAGAAGCGCTATAGTTGAAATTAGGATTAGAATGGCTGACTCGGTTCAAAATATAATTATAAACCCGAGAATCTAGGAATATTGTTAATTGAAAATTATTTAAATATTAATCAAGTCCCTCAATCCAGCGAGATATATACATATATATATTTATGGTTACATATATTGTTATTATATTTTATAACACATCAAACTTCAAAGGTAAGCTAGCTAGCCACAACGTAATATTTGTTGACTTAGTGGTATTACGAGTACATATGATCGTTGACCCAATGCATTTCGGATCCTACCTCAACGCTACAAATAAACAATATTCTCTCAGTCTTTTTCTTCTTCTTCTTTTTTAAATAATTATATAGTGGTTATTTTTTTAGTTATGCCAATAAATTTTGAATTGAATTATCGGTTTTAGTGGACGCTTAAACTTGAATTAACTAGTGCAATTTGTGTGTATATAATCAAGTTGACGAAGGTCTGTTGAGTTGTAATAATTATGAGAACTAAACTAAACTAAACCGATAACGTGATCAAGTGGCTTAATTTGTGGGTCTTCTATATGAGCAAAAAAGGAATTTAAAAAGCTGGCGGAAAAAAAAGAAATAATGGGAAAATAATGGGAAATAAAAAGGGGGGTGGAATTCCAGCGAGTCTTCAAAATACAACACATAATTGGATCATTCATTCACACTACTGCTCTTTGAAGGGAGTTTGGTTCGTCTTTGATTTCTAATATACTATTTCAATATAGGGTTATAAATACATAAAAAGTTGTCTTAATGCATGTATATAGATTCTTTGGAATTTTTCTTATATTGTTACTCCATCCTGTTACACTTAATTATAAAAGAAATATCCTATAGAAAGTTAACTTATCAGAAAGTTCAAAAACAATGTTTGTTTCCTTTCTTAGATTCATTAAAAACGTAATTAATTTTTAAATAAATGTAATATTTTTTAATGCTAACGACAAAAATCCTTTTGATTGAATTTCATTTCATAATGTTTAAGAGTAAGTTTGTAAATATATAATAAATACGAGGGAAGTACTACACTACCACTCATCATCAAGATCCTACTCAGTAAATTAATTTCCGAGTTGTGATGGAAATTTATTCTTCGAATTAAAGTGACGGAAATTTTATTACTTATTAAAAAAATAATTTCCTCTCTGCTTCTCCCCAAGTCAAGACCCTATTTATATATGTAATATCAAATCTATAGGGGAAAAAATAATACGTTAGCTAATTATATGTCATGAAAAGTATCATGTAATTTAAATTCCATATGAAGTGGCTCTTCTTTGTTATAACTAATGAGCAGTATTCATGGATGTTAATGGAGAAGACAGAATACCATAAAGAACAAGTAAGGCCAATAGGAAAACAATAAAATGCACATATGTACATAGAAGGAGACGAGAAGGGAAATTATTAGAGGTCAACGGAGTTGATCCCTAGGTTGTCTTTTTTTACGTTAATTATTTATTTATTTTCAAACTGTTGCATTTTGTTTATTTATTTTCCTTATTATTTCTTCTTCGCGTGGTGATGCGTACAGTATCGTATTATATTAACGACTTGTCAATATATAAATGTATGTGAGACATGCCTCGTTACATATTCCTAATTAACAACCTTACGGTTACCATATGTAGTTTGTTTATTTTTAATTTTAACGTCTCTGACCAACATTATCTAATCCTTTCAGGTCATTTTCAATTCATCATTCTTAATTCTGATCAGTCTTTTAATTTCATTCATAGCTTTAATATGTTTAATTTGACGAAATTTAATTTATTCGTTGTATTTTGTGAAAAAATTCTGTTATATAACAAAAGAACCCAACTAGTTATTATATATTTGGACGCTAAACATATAAACTATGTATTTTAATCTTTTCTCCGGCTCATTAGATACATATTTACGTTTTTGTAAACCCTTTTAATTAAAAAAAATGGTTTGAAAGATTCAAGTGTTGCTTGGCATAAAATATCTTACATATATATAAATATAAACCCTTAGATAATTAAATGTACGATCGTACAAAAATGACATGTAAGTTGATAAGCTGGTCAAAATAGGATTGGCTTTGTAAATCCCAGTTTTTAAGTATTGTTCAACATGGTTTTGTCAGCATCTTACTTCATATTATTAAACAAATTAACCAAATTTCAACTCTTTTATTTTGTTATAATATCTTGGCACAAAAATCCAAATTGGATCGTGAAATTTTATATGAAGTGATGGAAACCCATATATTTATTAGTGTTGATATTTATGCGAGTGTAGAAATCGTTCTTCAATCGCATCGCCCCTCTTATATATGGTTTAGATCATTCATCCCAAATTAATCCTATCGCTTAAGGGGTGGCAGCAGAGATATAGACATATAAATACACCTACATATATACTAATTTAGAGTCAGAGACGGGACAAATCCGATATATACGCCTAATTTCGGACACTTATCAAACATTTAATTAAAATAACTTTAAGCCTTAAGGTTCAACGTACTATCCCGATATATTTATAATTCGGCGGATAAAAAGATAAATCTTTTTGTTTTTAAATAGATTCATACGTAACAATTAAAACAGCTTGCCCCGCCCATCAGCTTTTATAAGAAAAAATAGTCAAAAGGGCATAATTGCTTTCAAAACAATTGAATATTCCTGTTTTGTACAATTAATCAGGTTCATTATAGTAATTACCAAATAGTATTCAAATCAATACACTGCATCTTTTATAAGCTTTTCAAAACTCCAGGAGACATATCGACATCCAGATTTGAATATGCTAATTTCACACGGAAAAATAAGCCCCTAGCTACCTCCCTAATTATTTGTAAGAGACTTGAAGCCAATATGAGCTGGATCCATCGTTCTCTCTAAATAATATATGCTACATAGCCAAGACACAATGATGTGAACAATAATACTACACATAAACGGCTTTTTCCCATAGATTTTCTTCATTACGATAACTAGCTAGGTTATAATCAAATAGTTCATAAACACAAATCAGTTACATATATGGAAATATGAGAGCTGAGTTTAACTGAGAACTTATCTTTCGTCATTTGTGCGTGTATAAATAATTGAGTGGAATAGTCTGTTAATAAATAATGGAGGAAGCGTGCAAGGCAATCCCAGTAGGTTAAAAAGCTTGACTCAGAGAGAAGACAAAGAACAAAGAAGAGAAGCTCCGGTCACCGGAGGTGGCAAAAAAGTTTGACCCACAAGGGTTTTGGTTAGGAAAGCATGTGACTTTTTGGTAATGTACGAAGCTTCAACGATGGCACTTTAAATTGTGAGTCCGACCATTGCGGCTTCAACCTCTCTCTCTTTCTATGACATCTTGTCTCCGACGTTGAAGTTGAATTCTTCTACTTTTAATATCCATATTCTTTACGTGTTAAATATTATATTATTATTATTTTTGGTAACCCCACAACGTGTTTCTTAATTTCGAGTGATTATCTATTATAAGGATGGCAATCGGATTGGGTGGCTCAGTGTGTTGACATTTTTGGTGGTGTGTGAGTGCCGTGTTGGAGCTAGCCAGCCAATCAGCTTATTTGATTCTCTTTTATCAGTCAAATACTTCATGCAGATCCTCCTTTAAATACACAAGAGGCGATTTCAAGACCCGGAACTGCAGATATTGAAGAACACAGGGATCAGAGAGGCTAGCTAGCTTTTTAACTATGGAGTTTGCTCTGCGCAGATCTGGCCAAGAAGCTGAACCAGCCGAGGAAGAAAAGAGAAGTGAATCTACTGCTGCTCATAATCATGAAGCTCCTCCTCGTCTTAAACAAGATATTACTGTCGAGGTGAAGATTATACATACATACACATATATATATTTATATAAATCACTCATCACAAAGCAAATTAAATCGATTGTTTGTGTGTGTGTTTCAGTTAATTATTTTACATCTTTTGAGTTCAAAATCCTTCTGGGTTTCAGATTCTGTATTCAAAAGGTTTCTCCTCTCATTTGTTTTGTTCCGGTCGATCGATCTTGCGTATATATACAATTGAAAGCGAAGCTATAGCTTCTTGATTAAACGCGCTCTAGCTTTACTGTTAAATTCGTTTAAGCAGTTAATATGATTATGGAAAATTAATTAGGATTCTCCTTATTGGAGTACATGGCAAATATACATGATGTTTCGATTGTATAGTTTCTTCATTTTTATTTCCAAAATTATATCTTTAAAGTAATTTTTGCTATATATTAAACAGCAAGCGCATACCCAGCATTCATACAGAACAAATTGATCAATATAATAATTACGAAGGGACAAGGAGATATGATGTGTAGCAGCCGGTCTCTTTTCGATTTGAGATTCTTTATTTTGTCCCAGGTTAACCAGTTTTTCTAAATGACAGTAATTATATTACAAGTTTATAACACACACACCAGCAGCAACTTTAAAGTACTCAAAGTAATTAACCATTAGCGATGAAGACCTGCAGATTGAGATTTTTATCAGCGGGATAAAGGATAAAAGGGTCTAGCTATTAATTTTATTTTAGGTGTGTGTGTAATATAATTATAAAACGTAATTTAATTTCCTTTGAGATGTAAGAGTTGACCGAAGCATGTGTGTTTGGAGGATAAGCTAATGATATCTAAAATTGTGATAATCCACACACTGCACATGTGAAACCAGAAGATTGTCGGCTGTACCCAGTCGAGTTCTATTTATGCTTTTTCTTTGTTTTTGGTTTTTCGGGTAGATCATCGTTTTCATTTTTCCGAAGACAAGTTGACAAAACCCTAGTCATATATCGCACACGCAACAGAAGAGGGAGGGAAAAAGTTCTGATTATATATACACCCATTAATTCAACTATTGGATTTACAGGTGCCGCCGATGAATACTACCGATAGATCCGTCGTGGACACTGGACCACCTCATGCATCCTCAGCCAAAAAAGAAGAGGTTTGTTTTAATCATTCGAGGAATCCTACATCAGTTACTTACTGTCTATTTAAAGTCAGCTTTTATAAAAAGTGGATAGAAGAAGTTGCTTACTTTTAAATGCTTATGTGAATGGGTGATTGATACATAGGTTGACGAACTTGAATCAGCAAGAGTTGAAATGGGTGAGGTAAGAGAAGAAAACCAAAGGCTAAAGATGTGTTTGGAGCGAATAATGAAGGAATACCAGGCTCTGCAAATGCAATTCCACGTTATAGCTCAACAGGAAGCTACGACGAAATCTGATCAAAAAGGAGATGTTGGTAACAATCAAGAGCCTGCTGAGGAATCGGATCTGGTTTCACTCAGTCTGGGAAGAGTTCCGGGTGGTAGTAGTAATCCAAAATCTGACGAAAAATCTAAAGTCATCAACCCCAAACCGTCATTACATTTACAGCGACAAGAGGGAGAAGAAGAAGAAGAATTCAAACAAGACTTGTCTCTTGGACTGGATTGCAAATTTGAAACATCAAAATCTGGAAGCACGACTGAAGCTTTGCCAAATAATAATGCGAGCCCCACCAATAGCTCTGAATTAGTTCACAAGGAAGAAGAAGCTGGCGAGAGTTGGCCACCAAGCAAGGCACTTAAAACTCCCAGAGATCCCACAGATCAAGACGAAGTTTCCCAGCAAAATCCTGCTAAGAAGGCCAGAGTTGTGTGAGAGCAAGATGTGACACCCCAACTGTAAGTACAATGCATATATAACTTGCCCATGAATACACTCAAGATATATATAGTAAGAGCACTATTTATTCACGCTCGAGTTATTTGAAACAGCTGAATGATGGATGCCAATGGAGGAAATATGGACAAAAAATATCGAAGGGAAATCCCTGTCCAAGAGCTTACTATCGTTGCACAGTTGCACCAAATTGCCCAGTAAGAAAGCAGGTAATTTATAATATATATCTACTTGGGTCTGAGTATCACGATATTGTTTGAAATTCGATATATGCTTTCCTTTTTGGGACATCTAAAAAAAATATTAAATTGAATACACTGACTTTATAGTCTCTTTGTGTGGGATTGATCTTCAGGTGCAAAGATGTGTAGAGGACATGTCGGTTCTAATCACTACCTATGAAGGAAACCACAACCACCCTCTCCCGCTCTCTGCTACTGCTATGGCTTCCACCACTTCTGCAGCTGCTTCCATGCTCTTGTCAGGCTCTTCTTCAACCTCTAACCTCCCTGCCGGTTCAGCGCCGTCTTCAACGGCCTCGGCGACCACCGCCATTGGCTCTGATCTCCACGGCGTCAACTTCTACCTCTCAGATGGCTACAAACCAAAGCAATTCTACCTCTCCAATCCTGCACTATCACCTTCACCATCACATCCTACAATTACCCTCGACCTCACTTCCAATAATCCTTCCTCTTCAAATTATTTCTCGCCCCACTTCAACAGATTCAATTCAAACTACAGTAACCCACCGAGATTCCCTTCTTCAGCCAGCCTCAGCTTCAGTTCTTCAGACTCCAACGCAATTTCATGGAGCAACAATGTGGGGTTCCTCGGTTACAACTACAACTCCCAACCATATAATAACAACAGGAACATCCTTAGCAGCATCAACCTCGGAAGACAACTACCGATTCAAACTCCTCCTCCTCCTACTGCTCCTCAAGTACATCAAAATCCTCCTTCACTACTGCCAGACACCATAGCTGCAGCAACTAAAGTGATCACAGCTGACCCAGCATTTCAGTCAGCTTTGGCTGCTGCACTTACTTCCATTATGGGCACAGGAAATTGTGGTAGTGTTAGTGGGAATAGCACACAAAGTGTTGGAGAAATCAACTTGGGTCAGAAAAGTAACCCATGGGGAGATATTTTCGCAGCTTCTGCATCTGGGTCAGCTTCCAAAGTCAGTGGATGTGGTTCAAGCTTCTTGAGTAAAACGACGCCGTCCGGAACACAAGCAGGAAGTAGTGGTTTGATGTTTCTACCTCCATCTCTGCCATTTTCTAGCTCCAAGACCTCGTCGGCGTTATCTCCGGCTGATAATAGAAACAAGTCCAATTCCTGACGGAAATTTTCTCTTCGTATTATGATTGTTTTTTCCCTTGTAAGATAAAAGGAGAATTTTGGGCACGTACACATGAATAATAATACTACATGTACATCACTCTTGGTTTTGTTGGCTTAGGAAAGATGTAGATGATGAAGATTTCTGTGTGAATTGAACAATGTTGCATGTTACGCTCACCCAGAAATTTCTCTATATTGTGTTTAAGAGAAACATGTGTAGTGGCTGTTCCCCCCTGATCTTTTTCTTGATGGAAGTTATTGCAGTGACATCCAATAAATGTACAGAATGTGATGTAGTTCTTGTACAATTATCTAGGGAAGTTGAGTATTGCTTGTGGAAGATGAGATTAAAGGATGTCGTCATTAGGATTATAGTTAGACTCCTCCGGTCCTTAATATAGGACCCGGTTCTTGAGTTGATTTTGGTCCTAAATATAAAACCCATTTCTCATATTTATCAATTTTCTCTAAATTACCCCTATAGATACTCTCTCAACCATAATTAAATAGAAGAGGGAGAGGGGGTATTAAGAAAGATGATTATGGTGTTTTAGGAAAAATGTATCATTTTTCTTATAATTAACCAACTTACCTAACTTCCTTAATCTAATCAAATTTGTTAAATAGATCTTATATTAAGGACCGGAGGAGTATCTTGGAAGTTCATAGCAGTTAAATTGATTCTTACGGTTCTAGTTGCCAAATTTATAATAATAAAAAAAAAACTCCGTAATATAGGTTGTCTTTCAGTCAAACTCACTCGATAACATTGAGAAGGCGCGTCATTCAATAATACTAACTAATCACATTATCGATTATTAAGATAGAGAGCAATAAAAACACTTTGGCCATCGATAAGCACTAATATTCATCATTGCGTTGAAATTTAAACCATTCAGATATAATTTTAATGGTTAAAATTTAAAATTTTCAACTAATAATTTTAAAATGAAAAAATTATTTTAAAAAAACTTACAATTAAGAAATTACATTTATTTTAGATTATACCTTTTAAAAATTATTTTTTTAAAAACAAAATATTGAATATTGAATCTCAGCTATTCATATTAAATTTGAATGGTTGAAGTTTGATGAGTATGATAGTACTAATTACTGTGATAAATAATAAAACAAAGAGATGTAATGGTGAGTAAGATCATCCTTTTTTAAAAGAATTTTGTCTTTGATTGTGTTCATTCGTAAAGTTTGTGGATTAGAATAAAGTGGCGCTCATCAATAGGGACACATGCTTGCTTAGATTAAATAGCCTGAGTCCCAAGAAAAAAAAGATTAACTAGGTTTTGGTAGTACAGTGTAA